GGCATTCTATGATGCTCACCTTCCCGACACAACCGCTGATGACAAAGCGGGTGAATAAGCAAATGTGGTGAAGAAAGCTGATGGTGCCCGGCTATCAAAAGATATAGCGTCTGGGGTCTTAAAAGCTTGAAGGTAAACAAGCGGCCATCTAGCTCAGAAGCAACAAAGCCCACATGGAACAACATATCAACCTGTGTGATCACGGGGTGTCGAACGGATCACTGAAGACAAATGGGTGCATAAGCAAATGTGGCGAAGAAAGCTGATGGTGCCCGGCTATCAAAAAGTATAGCGTCTGGGGTCTTAAAGGCTTGAAGGTAATCAAGCGGCCATCAAGCTCAGAAGCAACAAAGCCCACATGGAAGAAGCACCCCAGCCTATGCAACCACGAGGTGTCGAAGGGATCAGGTGTAAGGCATCATCAGAACAAAAAATCTTACCATAGTGAATGATGGGGGGAGTGCGGAGTGGAGATCCAAAGCCCATTAGTAGGCCACTGGAGATCCTCTTGCAGAGGGGTCTCGGGGAGGAGATGAGCCAGTCAGGGTGCGATGCGATGTAACAATGATGAGAAATACAACCTTCCTCTAGTTCCTAAAGGTTTCCTCCCCGCTCCCACTACCATGACTCGAATTCTATCTTGCAAGTCTGGCTAGACCAGAGGAGGTACACTGGTACAGATAGGAACTGAAAATACAGGGAATCCAGGACGGATGAGCCCTATAGGACCAGTGGTGTGAGTGGCAAAACAGGGAGGGTAAAGGGAGAATGGGTAGGAAAGAGGGAACCGATTACATGGAACTGCGTGTGACCTCCTCCCTGGGGGACAGACAACCGAAAAGTGGATGAAGGGAGACGTTGGACAGGGCAAGATATGACAAAATACCAATTTATAAACTATCAAGGGCTCATGTGGGAGGGGGGAGTGGGGAGGGAGGGGAAAAATGAGGACCTAATGTCGGGGGTTTAAGTGGAGAGAAAATGTTTTGAGAATGATGTACAAATGCGCTTTACACAATTGATGTGTGTATGGATTGGGATAACAGTTGTATGAGCCCCTAATAAAATGTTAAAAAAAAAAAAAAAAAAGAAAGAAGTGTCTTCATCTTGTTGGAGCTCATGTTGAGAATCAGTTTATATTTTTAATTTTTATCTTTTAATTCCATATTTCCCCCCAGTTATGGTCTCCTTGTTATGTTGGCTGTGGGATGTACCCTCCATTCAAACGGCGGGCCTCAAGGTCAACTGTAAGGTGGAGGAGACGGCCTCAAACTGCTCCCCTATTGGTCCAAGGGAGGCAAGCAGAGGGCTGACTACTGGAGCGGAGCCTACTTCAGGGCCCCTCTGAGGCAGTTTGCAACGGTCAGGCACCTGGCAGTTACAGGTGAGGGCGCAGGTGTCATGCTCTGGTGAGATTTCCATAGAGGTCTGCCTGGTTCCTGTGAAAGTCCCCCCACCCACCCCCCGGACACCCCCACACTAGATTGTACTCTATTAGTCCACCCTCCCCTTGACACTTCTGTTCCCTAAGCAGCAGCTGCCTCAGTCCAAAGATCTCAGTGCCAGTCAGAATTGAGGGCAGACCAACCTTAACTGACCTCCAGGAATGCCTGGCCTGCTGGCTTCGGAGGCCAGCCCTAAAGGGTGTGCAGGGAGGCGGGAGGAGTGCTGACGACAGGAGCAGGGGCCTTTGGTGGCAGACTTGGAGGTGACAGTGTCTGGGTGGGGAAGGGGCTGTCATGCTCCAAACAGAACCTTTCCTGGAGGATGCTGCCTGTGGGTGTAGCACCCATGAAGCATGTCTGCTTCCTCGCTGCCCGAGTCAGTGTCAGTCAGCAGTCCTCAGCACCAACCATGCGGGGCAGTAGACAGATCTGGACTGACCCTAACCCCCTCCCCCCAGGAGGTCTGTCCTGTTGGTCTCCGAGGCCTGAGCTAGGGGCACAGTCTGCTGGCAGACTGTACTGTAAGAGCCTCCACTGACGGGCCTTCTGCTGCCAGCAATGTCTCGATCCGAGAGGTGCTAGCACACTCCAAAAATCCCCCCAGGAAGTCTGCCGTGCTGCTATCAGACTACGCTAGCTATGGTGGAGCCCACACTAGAGGCTTGCTCCTTAGCACATGGCCGTCTTAGTCAGTGGTTCTTAGCACTACTTGAAACGGGGAGCAGACAGACCACAACTGACTCCCAAGGGGCTCTGTTCTGGTTTCAGAGGCCTGCCTGCAATTGCCAGTGTCTGGGCGGGGGAGGTGCTTGCACGCTCCAAAGGAAGGGTGGGAGGCCGGGGCCCTGTCTTTTGGCGCAGGTAGAGGCTGTGGTGGGCAAGGAAGCAGGCTCCTTCTGGGCTCACAGGACAGCCGTGAGTGGCTGAGGAATCAAGGAATGGTAGGAGGATGTTTCCCCAGGTCCTGTGACTCATGGACTCACTGAGTCTGGCCTATCTCTGTTCTCTGCTGGTTTACTCGGCTCCCCAGCTCCGAGTTCCTTAGAGCCAGCATCATTTCTTTGCCCGTCTTGTTCCTTTGTGCCCTTCGTGGGGGAGCGCTTCTGCAACCGTCATCCCAGAATCCTCCTAGCGGTAATCTTCACAGGAGCACCTGGCTGGGTCTTGTCTCCCACGGAGTGGATAATGGGTTTGAACCCCCAGGGTTTAAATGGTTAAACAGCCAAGCACAGAACCGGTGCTCTGTCAGGGCTCCTTGTAAAAGTGGTAGAAATTCTCCAATGTGTCTCTTTGAAAGACTTGAAGCCTCTGGTGTGTACACTGCTGGCTCTCTAATTACGGAGCTCATAGATACGAATCAGGGGACGTGCTATTGTTTGGTCGGTTCTGGCTCATAAGGACCTTGTGTGACAGAACAAAACCGTGCTCGCCCGGCACCATCCTTACAGTTACTGTTGTGTTTGAGTCTATTGTTGCAGCCACCGTGTCACTCCAGCCGCTGACCTTCTAGTACCAGGGAGTGTAGCAGCCCTCACTTGTACGTAGACAAAAGGAACCCTCTTTGTCACGAAGGGCACGCAGAGAACACACATGCCACTCAGCAACACGGCCTCTGGAGAGCCACTTTGAGACGCTAACCTACCACAGCTAATCGAAGTCCTCACTTGTTAAACAGTCCCACAAACACCTAGTCGAGCATAAGCCGAGTTTTTCAGCACATCTTCTATGCAGTGTTTGTTGTAAAATTAGGTGTCTCGGCTGATATTCGGGTTGGCTTATACTTAAGTATACACAGGATGTCATGTTTGACAAAGCTTGGACTTTATCCTGCGCAAAAAGCTGCCCCGTGGAAAGGAAAGAAACTGCTGGTGTAAGCAAGGAGGATAAAAAACGTTAAAGATAAACCAAACCAAACCCATGCATCTTAAACCTTCTGGTGGAAGGAGGCCAAGGAAACACGAGAGTCCCTGGTGGTGATTTTGTAGACTTTGTGCAGCAGGCAGAGTAACGACCACCCTCCAAAGATGCCCACGCCCTGACGCCTGGAACCCTTACAGCATGAGGGAGTCTTCAGAAGTTCGTGGACATATTCTGCTGGCTTGTGCTTTTATCCTTCTACGTACTTTCTGAAGCCCTTTCCAGTGTTACTTGACATGGTAAATGACGTTGAGGCTGCAGATGGAACTCAAGTTGGCAGCTAGATGACCTTGAAAGCAATAGACTATCCTGGATAACCTAGGTGGGCCCAATGTAACCCCAAGGGTTCTTCTAAGTCAGTGGTTCTCAACCTGTGGGTCGCGAGCCCTTTGGGGTCAAACGGCCCTTTCACAGGGGTTGCCCGATTCATAACCGTAGCAAAATGACAGTGATGAATTAGGAACAAAAATAATTTTATGGTTGGGGGGGGTCACACAACACGAGGAACTGTATGAAAGGGTCGCGGCATGAGGAAGGTTGAGAACCACTGGTCTAGATGGAAGGAGGAGGACGAGGAGGCAGGAGAACAGGGATCAGAAGGACATGAGACCAAGCAAAAGAAGCACAGCTATGCCATGTGACAGCCATGCCATGTGGCAGCCATGCCGTGTGGGGAGGGCTGGACCCGATGTGTCTGGCTTGGAAGACCGAGACCCGGTCAGGGTGTGTGGTCTGTTCTACCCGTGGGAAAGGCAAAGAAATGAGATTCTCCCTTAGAGCCACCAAGACGGAACGCAGCCCTGCCCACACCTGAATTTTAACTCACACAGACCGCGTTAGACTCCTCACCCACAGAAATGCAGGTGAGAAGGTGTGTGTCTGAGAGCACTGAATTTGTGGTAACTTGTCGCAGCAGCAACAGAAAACTATTAGGGCCCCAGTACTGTTGACAGGAACAATAAGGACAACAGCAGCTACAAATGTTCCAGATCAATGAGATGAGCTAAGCGACCGAGCTACGGGCTACACAAAACCCACTGTTCCCAATGCTCTGCTGCATTCAAAAAGCAATGAAACTAGACATAAAGTGAAAGCCATCGGGGCTGGCTCGAAAATTGTTACTGAAGTGTACTCAAGACTTCATCTTTTTTTGGTCTTTGTTAAATGTTTCTCACTGCTTAACAATATGGCTAGAAACAAGATAAAGATATTGGTATATTTTCATGAACAGGATAATGATATTTGTATATTTTTATCTGTATGAATTTAAAGAATATATAGACCTTTACAAGCAATCTAAGCTTTAGGGTAACGATCACACTATACTTATTTTCTACGTGCAAAATACCAATACCAAGATTTTTAGCTATTTTTTAGACTCTCTTTACATAGGATGATGGTTTGATAGGCCCATAAGGATATTAACACATATTCCTCTTTATAATTTTAACAATTACTTACGGAAAGCCAGAAAAGTCCCACTTTCACGGCTTACTTTTTTAAGCTGAAACATTATTTATTCAAAGCTCAAACGTTGGTTTAAACTGGAATGCAGAACTGATAGCTGGACAAGCCAGCCTCCACCTAATTCACAATAAAAATTCCTTTAGAAAGACAGACAGACAAATCTGTGCTCACCTGTGTTTAAAGGCAGGTAAGTGATGCTGTTTAGACAGGTCAGGGTGAACCACGTGGACGAGAGTGTGGCCCCGGAAAACAGGAGGAGAAGAATGAGCTTCAGCATGCCCCTGATAAAGTCCGCAAACCTGAAAAGAAACCGTGTTCCTTAATCTTAGCTGGCTTGGCTCGTACTATCGAGATCAGTGACACACTTCCATTACAGAGCAATTACGCGAATGATCTTCCAGCTACTCTTTTAAAAGCAAGGTGTGTTTGATTTTAAGATGTGTGTTTGTGATTTCCACGCCCTTCCTTTATTCACTGAATGGATTCTGAGTTTTAAAACGCTACTTTTATTTTCTATCATTTAAAAATATTCTATTATAGAATATACATAGTCTATAATTTTAAAATAGGTTCATTCGTTGGCATAAACTTACAAATACGGTTCTCCCCAGATGCGCGCTGACGTAGAATAAAAACAAACGCCTAGATCAGAGGCTCGAAAGCCCTGGGTGGCCCGGCCTATGCCTCCACTCTCCCTTCCTTTACTATTACGCTCCAGTAGGGAAGCCCTGCTTCCATGTGTCGGGGACACCGAGGCCGTTCCCCATATCCCACAGCACTAGACTCATCCCATCTGCATGGGATGCAGGCACTCCCACATCATCACACGACTTCCTCCAGCCAACCCTTCAGATCACACTCCCAACAGAAATGCCCACCCAATCTTAAGAAGCCCTCTCCACCTTTTCTCCACATGTTTATCTTTGTCACATTATTTATCTGTTTGGAAATTCACTGGTTTCCTGTTCCTTCTGCCTTCCCGTGAGCTTCATGGGAGCAAGAGCATGGGACTGGGGACAGTGAGTCCCCCAAACCCCACTGCCCGGCATCAATGCCCACTCATGTGGGGGAATCGTCAATATGTCCAAGGCTGTCAATATTCTCCTTTTTTTCCTTTCCCTTTTTATTTATTTAAAGTTTCGTTGACATATGATTCACAAAGGTTTACATATATTTGAAAGAGTTGTGCCATCATTACAAGTAATTTTAAAGCATTTTCTTCATTCTTGTACTAGCCCCCCATTTCCCTCAACCTCCTCTGCCAAGATTCTAAGAAAATACAGTGAACCCTCGCCACTTCACGCTTCAACTTCCGCGGCTTCACTCTATCGTGGTTTTTGCGTAACAGCACCCACTGCCTACACCCGCTCCTTCAGAGGAAAAAGACGGCGACCCACCTGTAGAGTACATCCCTTAAGTCATTTCATAGGCTATTGATTACAGTATTTGTAAGAACTATGTATAATAATACTGTATGTGAAATATGTAATACTGTAAACTAGATGCCATAAATAATATAATAAATAATAAATGATAATTGTAACATCCAAAATGTTTTACTGCATTTTCCCTTTTTTGTTTAATAAATTGAGTAATACGAGTGTAATGGTGACTAAAGGTTTTTTTTCATGTCCTCTATGCTCTAACTACGAAAATATTTGATTTACAAATAAGGAACCCTACTTCGCGGAATTTCATTTATCACGGTAGGGTCTAGAACTGATTAACCGCGATAAACGAGGGTTCACTGTATTAGCAATCTAGTTGTCGTCTCTCTAAATTTACCTATCCTACATTTCATATAAAGAAAACCCTAAAACAACAACAAAAAAGCTGCAAATAGTTACAGAAGTAGGCTGCCAAGCCTTCCTCGGCAGAGCACCTGGTAGGGTTCACCCTCCAACTTTTGCTGAGTAGCGCACGCGTTCACAGCTCTACCACCACCTCTGGAATAGAGAACGATAGCCCACAAACTCGTTACTACAGTGCTGCAGCATTTTAACTTCTCAAATCCCTCTGCTCTCCTAACTTCACGTGAAAAGAAAGGACGATGGGTAGAAATGCTTATCCTTTAGTTAGCTATACCCAAAGGGGTTTCTATTTGTCACCTGCTCTTTGTCATGTGTTGCCTAACTGTGGCTTGTGGGTGAGCTGCTTCCCTCTGCCTAAGCACAGTTCACTGTCTTCTAGAATTGCTCCCATTGCAGAAAAAAACAACTCATAAGTATCCAACATTCCCTCCTCGGCTTTGAACTTGTCAACTGGCTCTTGTTTCTCTTGTATTATGCGACTGCCCTGAGTACTTTCAAGACCGTCTTCTGTCCTGCACATACCTGCGGGGCTATGGTGAGCCCTGTTTGCAGGGCCTAAGAGGAACTTCCTGTGGGAGCGGACGCCATCTTTTGGTGGGAAAAATGAACGCGCCTTTGTCAGGTCATTAAGGCTTGTCCTCATTTACACGTTTTCAAGGAGAACATTGCAATGGACTGTGAACAAGTTGATAGAAATGTTCCTCAGAACATGTGAAAGGCTGTTTAAACTCCCTGTTCACCAAACACGCTTCTGATTCATATTTCGGCATTCCGAGTAAACTTACTCAGTGGGTGTAAAAGAACAAAACAGCTTTCTGGTTTGGATGGGAGCGGAGTTGAATGAAGTGGAGTATCAGTAAGTGTCACAGGGCCTGACCACCCAGGGCGCACCTGACCGCGGTGCTCTGCTGTGGGGTCTCAGTCTTTTCACTGGGACTGTGCCATCACAGTAAGTAGACTGGTAGGATCAAATTAGTACCAAATTGGTCTGCAGCAACATAATTCCAGAAAGCTTTTAATATCATTCAACAGACTCAGGTCTCTAAGAATATTCCATTTCACAGACCCCAAAGGCAGTGCTAAGAAAATAATGTTACTCCTGCTTTTAAGACCAGGAGGTACCTGAAACTGATTTCAGGTCCCAGAGGAAAGGCAGTTCTTCTTAGAACTTCCACTTCAACAATTTAAAAACATAAAAGCCCTTGTTCTAATTTTTCCCTCCAGTGCTATCTAAATATAGTTAAAATGGAGGGTTTGGAGAAGGAAAATACAGAGAGAAAGGAGCGTGAGATGTCATTTCTCAGACATAACGGTTAATGGTTCCCTCTTTGCCCTAGCTGGTGCTCAGAATAGTACTTGATCAACGATGACTCACAAAAATTGGCTGGAAGATTTAATTAGAAAAATTAGGTTTGATTCTTGTCAAACGTGACAGGTCAGTGTATTTCAGGATCAGTACAGTGATTTCCCACAAATAGCTACCTTCCTGTTCCTCTTCTTCAGCTTTTTAGATTTTATTCTTACCTTTTCCCAACTTATGAACCCTTCTATTGGGTGGTTTAGAACTTACAATCCCATCTGTTCTTTCATTATCCCAGGAACAGTAAACAGAGTGTAAGGTCCGTGCCAACGATGCGCAAGTATTTAGAAATTGAGGTGATTTACATACCTTATTTGATCTCCCCAAATATGTAATTAGATTCTTCCCTTCTTGCCAGAGTTGATTGCTCAATTTTGTTTTTGATTAGATGGAGTAAAGTGTTTTAGTAAGTGAATGAATATTATCTCTTTGAAAACACTAAGAATAGTTTTATAGGCAGTCAGCTAAAAGAGTGACATTTCCATTTCTTATTTTAGAATAAATGAAGCCGCTGTCTTTTCTTCTAACTCATTCTAAAATTGTGCTGTCATAATGGGTTAAGATCAAAGGAGTGCGTTAAAACAGGAAGTCTTTATGGACATTTAAAAAAATCAAAATGGGCTAACCATAGGAACATACCTGCCCAAACAGGGGCCAGAAACAAACACGTGTCAAGCAGGGTGCTGCTTGTTCACGGGAAGCTCTGGAGGTGTTCTTTCAAAGGACTTGCTTTCAACTCCTTTCTGTACTAGTCCGACCGACTTGTTTGTAGACCACCCTTCTCTTGGTTCCATTTATGGGTGCTATGCCCTAATCATGCTCACTGGAGCACGGCCCTGGACTTGCAGAAAGACGTTCAGAAGACCCATCCTTGAGGTTCTTGGAGCAGCAATTTTCCCTTCATTTTTCTGTAGCCTGAGCAAACGTACTTTGCTGCCCTGTGTCTGCCTTACTTTCCTCTGGTTTCTAAATGTCTATCTAGGGAAATATTCTTTCCTGTAGGGCTTAACTGTAACAAAAGAGTCCTTTCACATGCTAGACATAAAATCTTCTTACCTTGCCATGGCTATCCCAACAACACAGCCTCCAACTATGGACCAAAATCCAATCCAGCCAGCATCTACCTGTTCAGAAAGTGACAGACGATTTTGAGTACATGACTAGCATGCTGTAATTTAGAAAGAATGAGGAAAATAAAGCTCCTCTATTATAAAAAGTTCAAGCTAAATGACAACAAATCTAGGAACCACTACTAAATAAAATGGATACAATGAAAGGATTCATGTGTGACTCATTAGTACAAGCAAGTATTTGCGTCTCACGTGCCCCTGATTAACTTTTTAGTGCTATATTTACATTATTTTCGTTGCTACTTCCTAACTGTAATTTTGCTACTGTTATGAATCAGGCGACCCCTGTGAAAGGGTCCTTTGACCTCCAGAGGGGTCACGACCCACAGATTGAGAACCACTGCATTAGACGGTCCTGGACAGAAGGGGAGAAAAATGTGGAACAAAACTCCAACTCAACAAGACTTGGAGCAGGAGGAGGAACGGAAACAGAAAGCACAGGAAGGAAGTGGAATCCAGGACGGTTCATTGAGGGGACTGCATTGAATGAGACGAAATGAAATGTGCATGAATGTTGAATGTAAACTGATGTTCTGAGCTGTAAACCTCCACGCAATTCACAGTAAGAAGTTAACAAGTGTACAGGCCTTGATGGAGGATATGATGAGAAACAATGGTTTCAGATTTTGGTATTTTTAGTTAACAAGTTTCCTATGATTTTTATAGCAATAAAAAACATTCAGGAAGTCTGAATTCTCCTAACGATAAAACTATAAATAAAAACGTTTGCTCTAAATTGAACTGTGCTTCCTCTCCAAATATGAGTTGGGAGTCCTGATCCCTACGCTTGAGGACGCACCACAATCTGGTAGCAGGATGTTCTCTGTCGTCTTCATGACAGTGTGAGGAGCGTGTGTGTGTGTGTGTGTGTGTGTGTGTGTGTGTGTGTGTGTGTG